CACACACACACACACACACACACACACACACCCTCAGGCAAAGTAGACAGTGTATAGGAATACAAAGAGAAAGACCAACAGGAAAAGAAAGAGATGAAGAAACCCAGATAGACAAAATGAGGACCTGGAAAAAAAAGGAGTAAGCAGTCAAGAAGTAGGAATAACCGCAGTGAATTGAGACATTAGAATACCTCAGGCAATAAACAGAAGCAGGAGAAAATAGAGGTAATTCAAGATTTGGGATATTAAAAATTAAAAAAAAAGAAAAAAAAGAAAAAAACAACCAAAGACCTACTGCAGGAAAGAAGGAAAATGAGGAAGTACAAATGAATGCTGCACGACGTGAAAAAAGAAAACATAGTAAGCTTTGGCAGTAAAAAGACAGAGGAAAGGGAAAGAGAGTGAACATTTCGAATAAAGTGCACCGACTCGGGACATGAACAAAAACAAACACCAAGAGCATGCATATTTAGCTGTCAGAACTGTGGAAAAAAAACAAAAAAACCAAAGCGATAACGGTAGTGAAAAGAAAAAGAGCTTCGTAAATATGTGTCAACATTTTCCCCAAAGTAGACGTTGTAAAAATAGGCCAAGATAAGACACCATTAAGTGGACATTTAGCTAGCCAAGAGTGGAGAAATTCAAATGATAAATATTATAATATGTGACAGTTTTGTTTCAATATTTGTTGAAGAGCGAATAAAGGAGCGTTATGATTTGTTTAAACCTCTGTTCTAAAGTATTTCATGAATAAAGTAACTAGTATATGTACAGAAAGACAAATAAAGACCTGGAATGCACATACATCGAAGTTAACTTGATGGAAAAAATAACTCTATGCTAGGGTATTTCATAAATAAAGACATTGGAGAACCAATGTAGAGACAGAAACATGAAGATGTGGGATATCCACTAAACGAAGATACCTTGATGGAAAAATAAATAGCATTATTGTAAGGAATTTCAGAATATTTAAAACGTGCTGAGCATAAATCAAAGACACCTTGATGGAAAAATAAAATAATTAACATTACTGTTGGGAATTTCAGAATATTTAAAACGTGCTGAGCATAAATCAAAGTTACTTTGATGGAAAAATAAACAACACTAGTCTAAATATTACCATTGCATAAAATAAGAGACAATGAGCAATATGTAGAGACCTACAAACGAAGCTTTCGGATTGACACAAATCAAAGATACCTTGATGGAGATTTATTCCAGGGTATTGAATAGATAAAGGACCAAGTGCATTATGCACATATAGGAACAAACATTAACATAAATGGAAGATAGTTTGATGGAAAAATAAACAACTTTGTTCTCAAATGTTGAATAAAGAAAGGGCCGGTTATGTGTAGAGACATAAATAAAATCGCTTGGATATAAATAAAATGAAGATACTTCTTTTTTTAATAGTAGAATGTTTTACGGCGCTCGCAACTGCATAAGGTCGTATGAGCGCATATCTTCGATGGAAAACAATAGTACAAATTACATGTATATGATGTAGATATGGACAAATAACGCGAAAGAATATACGCAAACAAATCATCTCTTCTATGGTATTTCATAAATAAAGAACCACGTATATGATGTAGACATGGACAAATAGAGCTAAGGAATATACGCAAACAAATCATCTCTTCTATGGTATTTCCTAAATAAAGAACCACGAATAGTATGCACATGTTAAGTCAGACAAAAGAGATTTGGGTTCTGCTCAAATCGAAGACACCTTTGAGTTTAGTCCAACGGCTATCTCAAACATCTTTTGTTCCTTCAGACCGAGAATGGAGAGCCATGACGTCATCGCTCTATACTGGGACGTATCTGGACTTCCAAAATGGCGGCGTCCATCACGACGAGACGCGTGCGGTGGTGAAAGAAGAACGCCGTGAGGAGAAATCTCCGTGCTCCCCCGCCGATGACGTGGTGGTTCCTTGCTTAGGCGTGGACGACACAGAACGTTTCTCGGACGCCAATGTCATCAGCGCGTTTTTCAGCCTGGAAGGCGAAGGGCAGCCTCTCTCTCTCCGCAGCCTGCTGGACCCGAGTTTTAAGGTGGACTGGGGCAGTTTGAAGAAGAAGAAAGAGCGGTTGGACGACGACGTGACTTCGTGTGTTCTCGGAGAATATCTTCCCGCTCGGGGCCGGTCAGACACGGTGGAGAGTCGCGGCGAGGAAGGTGACGTCACTTCCCCGGGGGTCGTCTCCACTTCCGAAGGCATTGTGGGAAGAAGTTCATTCCCAGAACCGATGGACGTGTGTTCGGACTTCTCCGCTGACGGACGGGGCGAGAAAAGATTGAGCTTGGAGAGTCATCTCCGGAACGGAAGGTATGGAAAGTTTTCCCCTGTCGGAGCGTCATCTTTGCGCGAGGTTGCTGCTCAGAGATACCAGCGTCATAGCATCCCTCGCATGAGCGTGGCGCCAACTTGTCAGTCTCAGACAACGCCGGGAACCAACAAGGATTCTCCTCTCTACCGACTTCTCCAGAGTTCCCGGCCCAGCCCGGCGCTCACGGAATGCAAGAGCGCGGCCGAGAGCGTGAGCGAGACGGCCAAAGAGCTCATGTCGGAGTTCCGGGAGTTGGAGCGGAAGATGAAGCAACACACAGCGAAGATACGACAAATGAACAAGCTGCTCACTTCAGACGAGACCACGATCCCTGATCTATCACAACAGATAAACTGGCTTGAAGAGAGCCTGAAGGAAGGATTTCCTATCTTAAAAGACTCAACGATTTCCTCCAAAAATGAAAACACTTACCAAGGGATAGACAATAATTTCCCTCAAGAGTATTGCTCGTATGCTTTAGACAACAACCAAACTGACACTGCAGTCAATCCACTCGGCATTCCTTTACCGTCTTCCCTCTCTTCTTCAGCATTCACTCCATCTTCCCCCATCTCCTTCTCTTCTTCTTCCACACGGTCACGGTCTTCTTGTTTCTCCTCCTCTCCCAACGTCCTTTCTCCTTCTTCTT